CAATTTTGGGAAGTATAAAGAAAGCTCAAGAAGAAGGTTCAGAAAAGAATGACCGAAAGGATGAACTTTTGGGTAAAACGCTAGTGTTCGGTATAAACAGTTACAGACTGAAGGTGTTCCAAGATTGGATTTGGGTACCTAATTCTGGAGGAATTTGAGATCTTCTGATGGAAGAAGCTCACAAAACCATGTACTAGATTCATCCTGACAACACTAAAATGTATAGGGACCTGAAACCCTACTACTGGTGGGCAATGATGAAGCTTGATGTTGCAAAGTATGTGGCCGAGTGTGTAACTTGTACGAGGGTTAAGGCACAACATCAGAAACCATATGGGAGTTTAGAACCTTTGTTTGTACCTATGGGTAAATAGGAAGACATCACAATGGATTTTGTCACTAAACTGCCCAAAACAAAGAACGGTCACGACATGATTTGGGTGGTCGTTGATCGCTTCACTAAGAGTGCGCACTTCATAGCAGCCAATGAGAAATGGTCTATGGATAAGCTTGCAAATTCTTACATGAAGGAAGTTGTGAGGCTTCACGGTGTTCTGTTAACGATTGTGTCAGATCGTGACAGCCATTTCACCTCAAGGTTTTGAAAAAGTCTACAAAAGGAAATGGGTACCAAGTTGTGTTTAAGTACAGCTTACCATCCACATACTGATGTTTAGAGTAAAAGAACGATACAAACACTTGAAGATATTTTGAGAGCATGTACCCTGGAATTCCTAGCTAATTGGGATGAGCATTTATCTTTGGTGGAATTTTCCTACAATAATAGTTTCCACTCGAGCATAAAGATGGCACCTTATCAAGCTTTGTACGGACAGAAGTGTCGTACGTCATCTTGTTGGCTTGAGGCTGGGGAAAATCAGTTTATGGGGGCCCGAGATGGTCCATCAAACCGTTCAAATGTTTAAAATAATTAGAGAAAGAATGTTAGCAGCTCAGGATCGTCAAAAGAGCTATACTGACAAGAAGCGGAGGCCGATGACTTTTGAAGTTGGAGATTCGGTTTTGCTTAAAGTTTCATCGTGGAAGGGACTTATATGATTTTGTAAAAGGGGAAAGTTGAGTCCAAGGTTTATTGGACCGTTTAAAGTTCTTCAGAGGGTTGGGAACCAAGCTTACAAGCTCGAATTACTCTAAGAACTAAATGGAATTCATAACACTTTCCATGTGTGTTATTTGATGAAGTTCACAGGAGAAGTTCCCGATATAATTCCAATTTCTAAATTGAGAATTGATGAAAACAAGAGGTTGATTGAATAACCAGAGGCAATTGTTGGCCGAAAGACTAAGAAGCTTCGACGCAAGATGGTCGAATTAGTGCTTATCCGTTGGAAACATACGAATGGGCCAAATCTCACTTGGGAAACGGAGAGTAACATATTGAGTCGATATCTGCATTTGTTTGTTGATGTGTGATTCCAGGGACAGAATCATCCTAAGGGGGAGAGAATTGTAACGAATGCATTTCCACGCTAGGCATTATTGTTGATATAATAGTTTAGGTTAACCCTTGTAACTCTTTTTGAAGTATTAATGATGAAATATTTGAGTATTATGTGAATTATGTGTTTATTTTCTTAATTATTATAATTTAATGAATTAAGAATACAATAAGCATCAAAATTAAAGTGTGAGATAAGCCCGATATCTTTACATGAAGATGTAGTGCTTGAAACAAGGATTCCGGAGATATAAAGAATGTCGAAATCCGAGTTATAACGAAGAAGTTATGACCTGTCGAAGTTTCGCAACAGAACCGGCGATGCTAAATGATGTAAAAAGTGAAATTTACGTTAGAGAGATATTTAGCCTTAGTGAACTAAATGAAAGTCATGGAGTTCGTTAAACCAAGAGCATGCATAAAAAAAGAACGCCCAAATCTGACTTCGTATGTGGAAGTTATGATTTTCCGAAGTTTAGACTTAGCAGTATGCAGCCCGAATACTCGATTTGAGACCGAGCGCTTTTTAGTCGAAACAATCTAAATGAGAATCAAAGATCTCGTTAATATTAGTGAAATGATAAAAGACATGCAAAAACGGACGTCAGATGAAGAAGCTATGAATTTATAACGGAGTTTTTCTGTCTCAGTCTATTAAAAATAAATAATAAAAATAAAGTCAAAATTAGCCAATAGAGTCTAAACGAAAGTTGTAGAGCTTAGTCTCAAGTACGCTTGGATATAAAGAATGTTGAAAACGGAGTTCGTATGAGGAAGATATAAAATTTTGAAGTTTATTAAATAATTAAAATATTAAATTTAATTATAAATTCCGATATTATCCAAAGGGGTGGGGGGGGGGGGGGGAGTCAGCGACCTTATCCAGGTTACGCCTAGTGTAAATCGAGGATCCAGCCCCCTATAAAAGGAAGTCAAGGCTGCTGAGTTCTATTGCTCATTTCCCCCCTTCTCTCGCGTTTTTACCTCGTTTTGCGTGCAAGAAATATCCCGAAGCCCCGATATCATTCTTGAGACCCAAAGCAAGTCCCAAAGCCCCGAAGATCCCGAGAAGTAAAATTCCCGAGCCGAAGCTCTGCCCGCGAGGAGCCTGGTTTTTGTGAAGATTTTCCAGATCTACCGAAGAATACTACTTCCACAAGCCGTAGTGCTGTTCGATCATCTTCTGATCAAGTGAGTGTGTAGTCACTTTCTTCTAACGCATAATTATAAAGTATTTTATACGAAATATGTGTTATGTGTATATTTTGTTATTATATGTGTGAATGTATATTCACTTTCTTCTATCTCATAGATATGATTTATTCTCTATGAAATACGTGTTATATGTATGTGTCTCATCTGTTGTTTGGAATATGTATTGAATGATAATGTTATACAGGTTTTAAACTATGTATAAAAATATATATTTTTATCTACTAATATGTTGGGTAGAACATGGGCAGATAGTTTATGTGTGATAAACAGATGAAAGGCCTCGATGTTGTTTTTTGATTCAGCCATCTAGCGGAGTTTAGATGATGACCACAAACTTTTCTAGACAGTCCTGTGGAATGCTAGCAGGCTCGCCACCTGTAGGTGTTAATGAATTTGAGTGTTCATTCGTTGTACTCCATCCCCCTCATGGTTACCTTATTTGACATATATTGCTAGGAAACCCCCGAATGCATGTGTTGTCGCCCCGATGAAATATTCTAAGACTAGGTCCCTTATATTAGTTGTTTTAGGGACGTAAACTAAGAATAATGGGAATGGGTAATTGGGTTATGTTGGTTGATAAAAATAAATTTAATTACTTATTGTGGGTTGAAAACCCTATATGCTCACCAGGCTCCCACGCATGACCCACTCAGTTTCTTTGTATTACAGGTAGTGGCGTCAGAGCATAAGTTGGATGATTTGTCAGGATATTTTGGATTATAGACCTGTTGTTGTAAATAACCGTGTAAGGTCTGTATTGAAATGTTTATGCTTTTGGTCTGTTTATCGGAACATGACATCCCGGGTATTGTAATATAATGAAAAATACACTTCTTTAAGAAATGCTTTGGTAAATCTTATTTTTATCATATTTCGTTTTGGGAACAAATTCCGCAACTGTTTTAATCAAAGGATTACTCTGAAATTATTTTAAAAGCATAAATTAAACTGTCTTTTCTCGTCGTGATTTTGGGGATGTCACAACATGGTAGTTGTAGGAGTCAAGGGACCTATAGCTTTATAAATTTCCTTTTGCATAGTTAGAATTTTCTTCATCTGGTACTCTCTAATGAACTCCAAACATGTAATGATTGGTACATCACGACGTTCAGCAATCTTTCTATTCAGAGATTCACATATATTGTTAAGAATAACATATGTATGAGCTCTACCTAATCAATCATTAATAATGCATCGGTCATTGTTACAAACTAATGAACTAACATTAAAATCTACATGTGAAGTGTGAATGAGACTAATGTTGTGGAGGAATCTTTTTAAGCCACGCATACGCATCATTATTAAGCTTTCTAAGTTCCTCTCACTACAAGAAAAAGACCCTTTTACAACGCGCAAACCACGACACTCGTTGATTTATGTTACGCAAAGGAGAATGACATTAAAAAATGTTATCTCTTCAAAAAAAAATTAAGGATAGAAGACACGCATTATTGCGTGCCCTTAAATTAGTGTTTAAAAAAACACGGAGGGCACCTATAATAAAATGTGCGTCGTCTAAGGATGTCGCTTTATATTTTTTAATGGAACGCGTGTTCCATAGTTGGGGAAAGGGGGAAATGAAATTTTGTAAAAATTAAAAACCCCGCCTTCCTTTTTTTTTCTCCTTTCCCTCTTGCCCAAATTATGAACGCTCCTTCCTTACTGCCGCCTACTTCTTCCCCTACTTACTTCTACCCACTATAACCACCATATCTCCCACTCGATGTTGAAATTGTTAGAAAAAGTCCTAATTATATTCTCAAGTCTCAATATTAGGAATGTGAATCTTGATTCTCGTTTGTTTCAGATTCCCCACAAATAAATCAAAAAACAAACAGATGAAGAATCGTAACTTTACTCCATTAGCTTCCCAATTGCATCTCGTCATCACCTTTGAAACTTCTATGTTAGAGACCCAGGTAATCAATTTATTTTTCATTTCTTCACATATCTTTTTCTTGTTTTGAATGATTTGTTGCTGTTTGGGAAGGAATAACGAATTCATCCTCTCCACCAGCCGATAACCTTCACTCTCTCGTTCTCTTTTTCTCTGTAAACTCTAATCCGCCTCCATTACTACCGAATCCCTTTTGTTTATCCTAAAGGAATAACGCAACCAAGCTCGTATCTCATATCAAGTACTCCGGTGTGGAGTTAAGAATTGAGGGCCCACTTCAGGCTCACATCCTCGTTGACGTACATCACGTGATATTCCAGACCACCGAGGTTTGATCGACTTGAGGGTTCCGCTCGGAGGCTGGAGTAGTGGATCGGGTCCATGAAAATCGGAGGAGGTGCTGAAGGATGATGGTTGGAGGAGGCGATGAATAACATGAACGAGGAGATGTTGTTCTTGACTGTATCCCAGACTCCGAATGTACAACAATTAAGGCAAGATATTTGGGGGTTTCTTTCAAGAAGCAAGTACAATGTACATCAACTAAAGTTTACTTGGTCTCAAATTCTTCTTGCCCAGGTTGTTTTTCTGCCCTCGTTGTACTTTTAGTTTTCCCACATCTTCTTATAGTTCCGAGATGCTTTCCATGTGCTTATAAGCTTGCTGGTGTTTACAAACTTATTGGCACGCATAAACTCTTTTATATCTTGTAATCAGCTTCATGTTTAATAAGAATATATATTGCACATTTTGATTGTAGTATAAGGCTTGTAAGGTTTTCAGGTCATATTGAATCAAAACTACATAGGTTAAGTTGATGATCTGTTGTGAAGTGTATGTTGCTTTACGCTAATATATGTTTATGTTTTTAGGTTCCAATGGCTCCAAAACAGCCAAGCACAGGACTCTTTGTGGGTCTAAACAAAGGGCATGTTTTCACCAAGAAGGAATTAGAACCTCGTCCTTCTGACAGAAAAGGGGTAAGTAATAAATCATGATATCTAAATTGTGTTGAGTTTCTTTTGGTTAAATTAATGGTTGTGTTTCTTTGGATTATATATAGAAAAGAAGCATAAGATCACACTTTGTGAGAAACCTTATCATGTATATTTGAGATATTTTGTCTTTAAAATAAAGGGCTTTGAATACTTAGACCAAAAGCAGTTTTTTCTACCTACCAAGATTAATAACACACTGCCTAAATTCGTCAACTTTAGAAAACTGAAAACTACATGTCTGATAGAACCATGAGTGTATTTTACTGGAGCTTAAAGAACGTGACATTTTAATTGATATGGATAATGATTCAGAATTTGTCTAATTGCCTGTTAAACCTAGCAAAACGAGTCTTTGTCTTTCAGGCCAACAATGCATCTATATTCTCTCATGTTCAAGTAATTTTTGTATATACTCATAAGCTGCACATCAGCTTGGTGATTAGATTATTCAGGGCTAGAGAGAGTGTCTTTGGTATAGCTCATCTGAATCAATTGTATGTTTGTGTATAAGGATTCATTAAGAGGAAAAAATGTTAGAGCTCTGATAAGTGTTGATTCTTTAAGCCTCTATGAAAAAGCTAAACTTTATTTTATGTCAACCAACACAAAGTCTGATCACTAACACCTTAGTTAGGTGTCTGAATACTGTAGGCTGAGACAGACAGGGAAGCAGGATGAAACAAGGGTGTCTCTGATAAACAAATTCGTTTAAAGATTTTTTCACCTAATGTACTTGACATTACCCTTGTGGATTTACCTGGTACAACAAAATTTCCTGTTGGAGATTAGCCATCAAACATTGAAGCTCGTATTAGGATAATGATAGTGTCATACATTAGGCTTCCTAGCTGTTTAATCCTACCTGTCACACCCGCAAATGTTGACCTTGCCAACTCAGATGCACTTCAAATCGCTGGAAATGCAGATGTTGATGGTAGGCACTGATTTCATTGAGTGATTTTGGTAGAAAAACTAGAAATAGAATGAAAGTTCATATCGTTAACATGGCTTCTTTTCTTTTTGTGCAGTTAGGTTACAGGACAATTTTGTAGCCAATTTATTATGTGACTTATTGGTTATATATTTTATGACTTTTTCAGGAAATATTAATGGATTTTTAGCAAGGAAGAAGTCAGCACAAGCTCATTGGTTAGTGGGGTATTGGATTACTCACAATTCAAAGATGTAGATATGGTTATAGGGGTATGATCTTTTAAAAAAAATCAATACTATTTGTTTTATGTCCTAATAGTTTAATCACTACAGAAAATAGTCAAGTGGCTAAATTAATAAAAACATAAAATATGAACACATAATTTGACAACTCTATTTGTGAATGCAGGCTGTAATTGAGAACATTCCATTGAAGCAAAAAAATCTTCAGTGAAACTGAAAACATTTGCCTCCTCAATGCATTTTAGCAACCAACACATCTACCATTGACCTCAATTTAATTGGATAAAAAATCAAATCTCAAGATCGAGTTATCGGGGCAAATTTCTTCAGGTTAAACAAAATAATCCACATCTTTATCTTAAGATTATTTAACATTTTCAACTAATAATTTCTTTTTTTTATTTTATTAAATGAAATGATTACAATCCAGCTTATGTGATGCCACTACTGGAGATAGTTAGAACAGAAAAGACATCTGCACAAGTGATTCTTAACCTAATGACAGTTGGAAAAGTTATAAAAAGAAGCGCCTGTTGTTGTGAGGAGTTGTACAGGTTTTGCTGTTAATCACATGTTTTTTTCCATACACACAGGAGGAGATGTCAGGAGGAGCAAGAATACACATTTTCACCTATTAATATTTAACGCCCAAATCCATTAGTTTGCAATAAATATATTTAATCAATCGAGTTACTGCTGTAGGAAGTTGACCCTTGTGAGGACTTAACTGATGATGACATCAGAACTGCCATACAAAATGCAACAGGCCCTAGATATGCATTGTTTGTACCTGAAGTAGGTCTTATTTTTATAACCCCAGACTCACAAGTCACATCTACATACTTTTTATAACTTAATATTTTGTTACACAGGTTCCATTTGAAGTTCTAATTAGACGATAGATTGCTTGTTTACTAGATCCAAGCCTTCAATGTGCAAGATTCATATAATTGGACACTGAGCTGATTGATTTGTTCATGTTTTAGATGGGCTATCGATGTATGGTGAATGAGTTACAGAGATTTCCTGTTCTCAGAAAGAGAATGGATGATATCATAGGTAATTTTTTTAAGTGATGGTCTTCAACCTTCTGAAACCATGATTGGGCACATAGTTGAAATGGAGGTACGTATCATCATCTCTATTTTTTTTATTTTTATCGTGACATGGCTGAAAATATTTCTTTTTTGGGTAGATGGATTACATAAACACATCACACCTGAATTTTGTGTGTGGGAGTAAAGTTGTGGAGGTTACCTTGCAGCAAGTGAAATCTTCTAAGCTTGCAACAACAGTGTCGAGGCAAAAGGTGTGGTTAATATATTGTTAATAGCTATAATATTATGTTTTATTGTAAGTTTTGTGGTTTTGCATGTTTACTTATATATTTTTCTTGATTGATGTTGTATTTTGTAGGGTGGAGTTGAGTCTGAAAAAGCTCCACAATCTGAAAGGGGTATAAAGTCACGTGCAATTCTTTCTAGGCCTTTTAATGGAATTGTCACAGAACAAGTTCTCTTTTTTTTCATTTAACTTTTAAATACGTTTTAGCATTGTTGTTGGATAATATTTTAGAGAAGCAGATTCTTTTTAAAAATTAAAAAAAAAAAAAGTTAACATAGCTTTCCAATGGCAAAATAATATCACGTTCTGTTCTTCTTTCTACCTTTGAAACTGCAAGAGATGCTGGAGCCCTTAAAGAACCTAAGAACAAACTGGAGAAGTGAGTTGAAGATGGAGAAGTGAGTTCAAGAGCTGACATGGAGATTAGACTTTGAAAAGCATTTTAGGGTATATTTTTTGATATTTCTTGTATCTAATTAGTTTGTAAATTTTTGTTACAACTATTGATTTGTTTTATCTTTGCATGGAACGATTATTTGTATGATATTAAATTTTATGCAATGGATTGTATTTTTTGTATATGATATTTTATTTTCTATTATGAGACATTAAATACAAATTTAATTTGAAAATTAGTAAATCCATAAATAATATTTTTTTTTTAAATTTAAAATTATGATACGCAAAAATGTGTGTCATCTTCATTTATGACATAGCCTTTCTTCATATGGGCTTTCTTGATACGCATTACGTGTCATTAACACGCGCGTCGTAAGGTTACGACATGCAAATGTGTGTCGTCTTACTTTATGACAGGGCCTTCCTTGATACACATTACGTGTCGTAAACGCGCGTCGTAAATGAGCGTCGTAAATGCGCGTCGTCTATAGATGCCGCGCAAAAGCACGTCGTCTCCCTTTATGATAGGGTCTTCCTTGACACGCATTTGCGCGTCCTCTGAGCCTTTTATGACGCACAATGAGCGTCGTAAAAGGTTGTTTTTCTAGTAGTGTCTATTGATCGTTGAAATTGTTGAATAGTAGATACTTTTGCACAATCCCATAGCAGATCTTTGAATTGCTTTGCCTGCCTACTACATTTCATGTTGTCATGGATATGACGAAGACAATAACAATGCTTAACGCATGGAAACAACTTTTCCATAGCAGGTAACACCTCCTATACATGGAAAACATGTATTAAAAGTATACCATATATAATGTAGTACTTTGATATTCTAATTGATACCTTTTCTTTGTCCATCGTAAATGTAAAATTTGGGTTGGTTCCTAAACCTAAATCATCCACTACACAAGTTAGAAACCAAGTCCATGAGTTGGTACTCTCAATTTCCACAACAGCATAAGTTTAAGGATATGTTCCATTATTACCATCAATCCCCTACACAAGTAAACATTTCACAATTAACCTAAAATACAAGTGTTTTAAAAATGTGGTTCATATGAAAAAGGTTACCACAACTGAAAGTATTTGTCCTGTGTACCCTTCATAAAGGCACCATCAAGACCAAGAAAGTCTCTTCTTCTAGTAGCAAATCCTTTTTTAAAGGACCAAGATAAATGTATATGCACTTGAAAGTTCTAGTTTCTGTATTTGGATTTGGTTCACTCTCTACATCAATCTTCACAATCGTGTTTGGGTTATGTTTTTGAAGTTCGAGAACATAATCTCTCAATAGAGCATACTGACCCACATAATCCCCTCACACCTAATTAAGAGCTTTAGTTCTAGCCCTAAACACTTTCATCTTGGAAAGTCCCACTTGATAGTCACGCTGTAGTTGTTTTTGTAAAACAGGAATTGGAATAGTTTGGTTAGATTCCACCTGAGTTGCAATATGTTTGGCGAGAAACTTATAAGTACAAGCTTTAACATTTCGTGTTTGGAGAAAATGATGTTCTTTGTTATAAGATTTTACCATCCAGATTATATCATTTTTCCATTTACTAGCACAGAGGCTCCACGGGTACTTCTCTTCATCTTCATTGTTGACTTCTTGTTGACCTTCCTCACTATTGTCTAAGTTTCCCAATTTTGGTATAATCCCCGTATACATAACTCTTACCTTATGCTTGTCATTTTTTTTTCAAAATCAAGTTCCCTTCTTGTCTCGATCGCATTAAGTTTAACTCTTTTTTTAAACTCTTGGTCTGTGTTATAGGTTTGATGGATATAAAATGGTCCAACCACATTTGCTTCATCATTCTCGTGAGCTCTTTGGATAGCTTTTGTGGTCTTATTTCGTTGAGCAAGGGGACCTTCATCTAAAGTTGAGCCTAACAAAAAAACCTCGTTATGTGATACTTCATTAATTCCCCCAACTTCATTCTCTTCTTGTACCACATTGTAATTCTTACCCACAACCCACTCTGTATCAATCAATGTTATCATTGAAATCATTCATGTCAACTTCTACATCATCTAAGATATTGTCATTTTCAATAGAAAAAGTCTATGTCATCGGACTCAATGGCTTCATAACCACTATCATCCCTAAATTCATCTTCATTTATCTCCTCAAATTTGTCCCCACTTTCAAATTCAGTCCATGGATCTTCTCCATCCTTGTTACCATCCCTAAATTCAACTTCATTTGTGTGCTCAAATTTGTTCCCAATTTCAAATTCAGCACATGGATTTCCTTCCTTGTTATTATCCCCAAATTCAACTTTAGCTTATTTAATCGTGTTGTCCCCATTATCAATAACAGTTAAGTTTAGTACATTGGCCCCTTTAGAAGCATCCGCAACAACATTTTTGTCCTTAGTATCATACCAATCTAAGAAAAGCCTACGAGAACATGTTGGAGGTTCAGTAATTTCCTTTATTCGAATTTTGGATTGATTTGGGGACATTGTGTACGTATGCAATTGGGTTTTTCCATGATTAATATAGACTTCGATCAACTTGTGTTTGGAAATGAAGGTACCCAGATGTTGTACATCCTGATCACTACCCAAAGCAAATAACACAAAGTCTAAATCTGAAAAAGGTCATCTAAAGTGATAGTATAAAGGTATACCTTCATCAGCGTAGCCTAATTTCTCCATCATTTCACCAATGTAATGCGTTGAGAAAGTATCTGTGTCAACTAAGTTCACATACGTCTATTTTCCTTTGATGAACTTTCTTTCAGGAAATTTGGTGAACTCTCCACCATGGTACAATCTAATGGAAAAGATTGTTCGATGCCCCCCCCCCCCCCCCCCCCGCGGTGAAATAACACACTTTTGATTAGGTTACAACAAAATCAAAGTTATAGAAGATTCAGAGTGAAAGACTACTTATAGTAACGACATCCAACATCAATTTCCTCCATATTTGCATGTATACGCCACAACACCATGGTGTGTCAAAGAGGATTATACGTCAATTAGAGTTTTATTGATCTTTAGTGTGTGAAATTTTTGTTTGGGTTTTTTGACTGGAGAGATGGAGTACTGAGAAAATGATCGCGCCTTCATATACAACATAGCAGTAACACTCTAGAAAATTAAAAAGACAAAAATTCATATGCGTCCATTGCTCGTGGGGTGTTTAACAGAGAAACTAGACGGAATGTTAAGTGAGGGACCAGGCGAGTTACGAATTTTAACATTAGGGGTCTTCTGAGTTAAAAATTATTCTCAGGGACTAAGCACACAGGTTCCGCCAACCCACAGGGACCATGTGTGTAATTTATCCTTTATAGTATTAAGTACGAATAACTACTTAACAATGTAATATAGTTTTCAATTTGTACATATTTGGTCGCTGAGTTTTTTTTCCGTCCATATTCTCTCTTCAACTTGTTTAACTGTACACATTCAGTCCTAATGACCGGTTACTCCAGGTAAGAAAACAAAAATGACTTAATATGGTAATATATATTTCACTATGTATACATTTAGTCCTTAATATTATTATAAAATGGTGGATATCATTTATTAATCACATAAAATCGTGACATATGTGATTATCAACACTTTTATTACACAAAAATCGAGCCAAAAAGTCGATATACCCAAAACACACAAGTCTAAATATGTATGATCTTTGGATAATTACATGGCTTACTTTTATATATATATATATATATATATATATATATATATATATATATATATATATATATATATTAGAAGTTGCAATAATATAAACAAATGTTGTGGAGATCATATGGTTTTATAAAACTTGTGACCCAACAAAGTTGACCAATTTAAACTATTTTGGTGTTACAAATTTTTAACCGATAAAACATGAAAAGTGCAACTACAAATTCTCGGAAATTTTTACTAAAAATAAACTTAGTAAAAATGGTCATAATTATGCTCGTCACTATTTTGATGGGGGTGGACACAAGAATATTATACTATTTTCGAACATATATTACTACTAGACATATTCACTATTGACTATTTATATAAAGTGTTTTAAATAGTTTACACAAAATGGTGTACAAAACAAATTGATGACATTATAGTTCGCGTGTCATAAGAAAGATGTCATAAAACTTATGTCATGAAACTCATAAAGCGCGTGTCATAAAATAACTGTCATAAATTCTCAAATAGTGAAATTATTTCATTATACAATAAAAGGGAGTCATAGTTTGCGAAAATCCGTTAATGCTCTAGTTAGACATTCACTTCACCGTACCTACCTAGCATATTTTTTAAGTCTTGTATTATAACGAGAGTCACATGGAGGGAGAGCGAGATAGTTGTGTGTATCTATACGGGGATTGATAATCCCACACCTAATATGTTCGCTACAACTAGACGGACCAGTGTAGGGTGACAAATATCTTACCTATTCTGACGCTTGAAGAACGCCACACAGGCATAACAGTCACCTCAAACATGGTCATAATAACTCACTTAGAGATTAACAATATAAAACTGTCTTTATCTTGGTTTACGTGAAGCTTACACTTTGCCATATTTATTAAAATATAAAACTGTATACTACTCTTCAGTACACGATTTCATACATTTTTGGGTCTTAGGTTTAAGACTAGAGTTTTCATACATCAGAAAATATTGGATTTTTTGGGAATGTACACTTTACAATGACAAGTAAATGAAACAAAGGACGTACATGCATATATTCACAGTTTTTGGTGTAAGACTTACAACTCACTTTTATATAAAATATCGGATTTTCTGGAGATATACAAACCATTTTTTTTACAAAATAGATAAAAATATTTTCATACAAATATGCTTATGAACTCACCAACATTCAATGTTGACGTTTTTTCAAAATCACTTGTATTCTCAGGGAACCAGTAACAAGTAATCAACTCTTTTGAGATCAAGTGATGCAACACTATGGAATTTACTTTTCTGTCATTTTTGTGTAACTTATGAACAAATAATGTAAACCATGTAAGTTTGTAATCTCAATGTATGCTTCTTGGTTGTTATGTTTCATTTATATTCAATTGTTATGATACTATACAATGACATCATCCGCCCACGGACGTTTCCGCCATCCTGGTTTGGGGGTGTAACAGATCAGCTCCATTGACTTTTCTTGTCTGAGTTGGTTAAGTTGAGTTAAGATGAATTGGAATCGAACTGTGTGAGCTCTCATGACGTAACCAAGGACTGGTCACAACATGAGGATGAATAATTGACATTATGGGTTGTTAACTTTAACTTTGACCATTAATTTATGACCTTGGTTGACCTTTGGCCAAGATGGCTGATTTCAATATGTACTCTAAGGTTGGACCTTGTATGTTTTGATAGTAGCAATGTAGCGGCGGTTTCGTGGCTTTGAGTTGCGTGTTAGTCGGCTTTGTGATTCAGGTGAGTCTCCTCATTGGCGTGAGGCTAAATAATTGACATTATGGGTTATCGACTTTGAATTTAACCGTTGACTTATGATCTCGGTTGACCTTTGGCAAAGATGCTTGATTTCTGTATATAGTCTAAGGTTGGACCTTGTATGTTGTGATAGGATCGTTGTAGTGCCAGTAGCATGGCTTTGAGCTGAGTGTTAGTCGACTTTGTGATTCGGATGAGTCTCCTCACTGTACCCGTGGGTCAAAGGCACCAATGTCAGCCCACTATGATATGTTATATAGGATGCTACCAGTCTTCGTGACCCTTGCATTTGTATGTCAAGCCAAGCCCATTGTACGTTGGGCTAGGCCCATGATATGATGGAATAGTCCCATTTGTATGTTGGGTTGGGCCCATTGATTTGGAAGGGTTAAACCCATTTGTATATTGGGATGGGCCCACAAGAGTTTAATATTTTTACTTTTTTCAAAGGACGTTTCTATAATAGAATAAATCTGGATCTATTACTGTGCATGTACACATAGGGTTTTATTTTTGTTTTCGTTGCCATAACTTGTGTGCATAGATGTTAGAAAACCCATCATTAGAAACTAGCATGTTTTATAAATGTTATGTGATATATGTGCTAGGTGTTAAGTATGACTAAGTGATCGATATAATGGGTGAATCATGTGTATGCTCACTAAGATTTACGCTTAACCATTGTTATTTAAGCTTTTTAGGAGCGTCAAATACAAATATGGGCAAGAGACTAGTGTGACTGCAGGTAACATTCTTTTAGTGTTTCATATTTTCCTTTTATGTTTAGATTTTTATAAACCTGGGGATGTTTTGTATCCGCAAAATGTTTCTAAAATATTTCACTTTTAGCTTGGTAACTCTGATATTTATTTGGAAGTTTGAATGAAGAACTATTTCAATGTTTTTATTGAAATTAAAGTTAAATAAAAATAGGTCGTTACAAATACGCTCCTCTAGTAATGGACTTGACACATGTGTGGCTTCAATTATTTCCATCAAGTCTCAAAACCATATTAGTAAATAGTATAATATCATAGTACAATCCCAGGTTTCTCAAATGCGGAATATCATGTGTGAATGTGTGATGCGCTGCTACCCACCGACTCCTTCCCCTTAGATGAGAGGTACCTGAAACAAAAACTAAAAACCGTAAGCACAAAGCTTAGTGATTTCCCCTATCATACTCATACCAAATAATGCATAATATTCGGTATCTTTCAACTGGTAATTGTCGGGCATAGCCAGGAGCTGGGCTCCTCCTCGGTATCTTTCAACCGGTAACCGGGAACTAACCTCCCCTTCGGTATCTTCCAATCGGTAACTGGGAGCTAGCCTCCCCTGCGGTATCTTTCAACCGGTACCCGGAGACTATTTGACCCCTACTACTGTTAACACATATCAAGCACAATAATCATATCTAATATCAACACTAGATAATTGTCACAAAGACAATCATCTATCTGACACTCTTACTTGTGGGTCGGCATTGTGGTCGTAGACCCACTCCTACTAGGAGAAAACTCACCTCAAAGTCGTGTAGTGTCTGCACTGGTCTCGATATGAAAATCAACTCTCCTTGAATCCTCGATCCCTACACAACAACTTTTCTAACTTATCAATCCACACTCGTAACCCATACAAGGGTCAACTCCAGTCCAAGACAAAGTCAAGCTCAACACATTGGTCAATGGTCAATCGTTCGGTCAAGGTCAAAATCTGGTTGATTCGACTCGCCGAGTGGGTCCACCAACTCGGCGAGTCCCCATATCCACCAAATGCCATAATCTCGTCCCTACTCGTCAAGTCTAGCAAGAGCTCGACGAGTTCGCCTTCAACAACACATCAAATTATCTTCAACCGAATCGCCAAGTTCGTCCTAGAACTCATCGAGTTCATCTTCATCAATATGAAGGTATTTAATCTATGACTCACTGAGGTCTCCTTGAACTCGTCAATTCCATCTTCATGTGGCTAGGACATTGTCTTGAACTTGCTGAGTCTGTTCATCCACTCGCCGAGTTCTTAGATCTTCAAGTCCATGA